CCAAATATGGATTTTTTTGATAGGATGGACGGTAACTTTAATTTAAATTAATTTTAAAAAAACTTATATTAGTGGTCGGGTTTTTTTCGAACTTTTACGATATCAACAGACGCCTTACAGTCACTAAATTATTAAAAACTCCACATTTTTAAAGTTTGCGAGTTGTAGCTAACAATATACTCAATGTATCCTTTTCATTTACTCAGCAAAATTAAAGGGTGACGGCATAGTTGTAAACTAAAACCACTAAACACAACTACATATATCAACTGAATTGGTGAAGCGCAACTCGAGATAGCAACAATATTTTCTTAAAAAATCTTTTAAAAAAAACTTACCTATCCACTTATAATATTATGGACTTCCTTTCCGTAATCTAGGGGTCCAATTCTACCAGAAACTACCCCAATCCATCTTGGGGCATTTTGGCTGTAAAATATTTTAAATACGGGAAAATAATATGAAAATAAATATAGCTTTGTTATTTATATATCTTCAACTCAGAATTAAAAATACAATTTGATAAATATCGGACTACAGCAGCAATCGGCAGACATGTGATAAGCTGTCATAGAAAAGATTGCAATATTAATGTCAAAATAATACAAATATCATTATATGTCGTTTTCGGTCAAAACGTATACGGAAATAAATTTAAATGTAACATTGTCTTAACATATCTGCGATTATTTTATAATTTTGTATAAATCGGAATGCCTTGTACAATGTATGTACACATATGATGACATAGAAACTACCTGCAAGGGTATATAAACTTCGGCTTGCCGAAGCTAGCTTCCTTGTTTATAAATTTATTCATTATCTGCTTTTGCCATTTTGACCAAGAAATTTTTGTTGTGTATATTTATATTCAAATCGCTTCCTGTTATTTAATTATTTTTGTTACTTTGGGTTTAGCTGCAAGGTCAGCTTCCTTATTAAATGTCAAATCATATGTGTATGTTTATTTTGTGCAGGTGAATGCCACAAAAAGTGCATCTAACACTTTGGACTCCAGGATTAGTCGTAAACAGCGCTGTCCACCGGAATTAATCAAGTACAAGGAGAGCAGCGGGGGCGGGGCCAGTGACTCCTCATCGCTTTCTTCGAAGGATCGGCGCAAACGAAAGGCGAGTAATGAATGTTGCTCGGCCTTTCCACTACAGATAGTGCTGGGCACTTTGCAGTTGCTCCTGGCCATTTCCCTGGTGGCCCTGGGATCGCTCCTGATCGTTCGAGAAGCAGCCCTCTCTTTGGCGGCATGTGGCATATGGACGGGACTAATAGCCGCCGTTACCGGTTCCCTTGGAGTGGTGAGCATGCGCAAAACGCAGACGGCCTTCCTAGCTCTCAGTTTGGTCTGCATCGCCAGCAGCACCTTGGCCCTGGCTGTTTCCGGAGTGAATTTGTCCAGGGATCTCAACAGAATGGCAGAGCACGAGGTCGAGCAGGTATAATTTGGAACTCCCTATCAATGCCAGTCGTTTAATAGCTTTTATCCCTTTAAGTTCAACTTGATCAATGCCAACAGCGAGGTCTCTGCCGCCTTCGGTCTGTTCTTCACCCTTTTTCTGCACTTTGTGGCCAGCATCGTCTCTGTATATAGATGTGCCCTCCAGATTTGCACGAAGTGAGTACAGTTGCTATTACACTAGTCCGCGCTTAAAAAATTGTTTAACAGTTGTCAGAAGTATTTTATTTTATATATATTTAAAAAAGGAAAACTACATTTTTAAAAGTCCTGCGACTAAAGCAACTATATAAAACAAGGAAGAACGCTATAGTCGAGTACCTCGACTATCAGATACCCGTTACTCAAAGGGAAATGGAGATATGCAAGCAGCAAAGCGAAATTAAAATGCGCCACCTACCGGCGGTAGACAGATTTAAGCGTTATGGGCGTTAGAGTGGGCGTGGCAAATTTATTTTTGGATCAATCGATAGGTATTGACGACACCAATACATTTCAGTTAAAATTTTTTATCTAGCATGCAAATTGTGGGCGTCACAGGTTTTCGCGGTTTGTGGGCGTTTAAATGGGCGTGGCAAACTTTTTTTTAAGTCAATCGATAGGTATTGATGAGAACAAAACATTTCAGTTAAAATTTTCAGTCTAGCATCAAAACTGTAGGAGTTACAGTTTTGGGCGGTTTGTGGGCGTTAGAGTGGGCGTGGCAGTCTACTGAAACAAACTTGCGCTGCGTAAGAAGCTCAGGAATCTGTTCGCCAAATTTTAATAGCCTAGCTCTCATAGTTTCCGAGATCTCAGCGTTCATCCGGACAGACAGACGGACAGACGGTCAGACGGACAGACGGACAGACGGACATGGCTAGATCGGCTCGGCTAGTGATCCTGATCAAGAATATATATACTTTATGGGGTCGGAAACGCTTCCTTCTGCCTGTTACATACTTTCCGACGAATCTAGTATACCCTTTTACTCTACGAGTAACGGGTATAAATACGTTGACTCATGGTCTCTTTTACCCGTTACTCGTTTTCATCTTAAAGCCTCTGCACAAAGTCACTTTAAATTTAGGGTTTAAGACGATGTCAAACAGCTTAATAAAAAAAACCTTTAATTCTACTACTAAGCTAAATTTCATTTGCCCGTTACTTGTTAATTTCGAAAGCTACATCCTTGTGCTGTATGCCATTGGAAAGGTGTATTTAAATACTATGTACGGCCTTCTAACATTATTTGTCTAAATACCATCGTTAAAATACTATGAGCAAACGTTTTTTTCATTTCGAATTTATAGGTTGTTTTATTTAAAAAAAACTGTTTAGGCTAAAACTTTAAACTGTATAGCCCTTGAGATTCTTTGTATAACATTAAATTTGGTATGTGCGTATCCAAACGCTATTTTAGGGCCATGGAATCATTTAAATTATTAGAAATGGTTCCATATAAGAAACTTGAATTCGACGGCTTTTTGGAAAGTAAATTAATTATATGATTTATGTTTAAAAAAAAACATCTGATATCAATCCAAAAGACCTCGTAAAGAGGTAAAAATCTAGTGAAGATTCCACCTTCCACAAACAAAACTTCTTATATCAACTTTTGCGACGAAAATGTATTATACGATCTACTTAATAAATACACATTCTACATTTTTATACCCGTTACTCGTAGAGTAAAAGGGTATACTAGATTCGTCGGAAAGTATGTAACAGGCAGAAGGAAGCATTTCCGTCCCCATATCACTAGCCGAGTCGATCTAGCCATGTGCGCCTGTCCGTCTGTCCGGATGAACGCTGAGATCTCGGAAACTATGGGAGCTAGGCTATTGAGATTTGGCGTGCAGATTCCTGAGCTTCTTACGCAGCGCAAGTTTGTCTCAGCAATGTGCCACGCCCACTCTAACGCCCACAAACCGCCCAAAACTGTGACTCCTACAGTTTAGATGCTAGAATAAAAATTTTAACAGAAGTGTATTGTTCTCATCAATACCTATCGAGTGACCCAAAAAAAAGTTTGCGACGCCCACTCTAACGCCCACAAACCTCCCAAACCTGTGACGGCCACAGTTTTCATGCTAGATAAAAATTTTAACTGAAATGTATTGGTCAATACCTATCGATTGATAAAAAAAAGTTTGCCACGCCCACTCTAACGCCCATAACGCTTAAATCTGTCTACCGCCGGTAGGTGGCGTATTTTAATCTCGCTTTGCTGCTTGCATATCTCCATTTCCCTTTGGTCCCTTTAGCTGAGTAACGGGTATCTGATAGTCGAGGTACTCGACTATAGCGATCTTACTTGTTTACATTCGACACGGTGCAATTCAATATGCCTGTGTTTAGGTGTACGATTTTATTTAGTAGATCGTATTTTTTAGTCACAAAAGTTGATATCAGAACTATTGTTTGTGGATCGTTACAAGATTTTTACCTCGCTTAGAGGTGTTTTTGTTTGATATTAGTACACGAAACCAAATTCTTTTAGCTTTTCTTCGCGAAGACACGTCCGGCAAGAAGTCCATGTAGGGAGCGAAATCCCTTTTCGTTTGCACTGCCCTCCTGCAGTCATTTTAAAGTGTTTCCATCCATTTTTAATTTTTTGTTTCCACACCGCTTCTGCAGGAACACACCGAAAGTTTAGATGCATAATTCTTTGCGCGCCGGCTAACGGCATTCATCGATATTCACTCCCTAAATCTAGTATTTTTTGGTATATGTTTAACTAATCTAATAACCGCGCTGAAAAACACCCGACGAAAAGCGTTAGCCGCCTATTTGCCTCTAGTTCACTCCTATGGTTAGCTCGCGGCTTTAGTTAATCTGAATACTAGGCTTTATAATAGACGGACAGCTTTTCAAGTTCCTAGCTGTTTTTCTAGATCGTTTATAAAGTGCAAAGAATAAAATGCGGTGTAAACATACAAATTGCCATATGCAGATAATATATACTTTTTATAAGTGGTGTCTTAAATGAAAATATGTTGTTGCAAAACGTGTATGTATTTTTACGTATATTTCATCAAAACAATACCGTGAATTGGTTTTAGCGGGAAATTTGGTTGGAAGAGATTTCTGTGACACACCTGACAAAACATCGATGACCGAAAATGGAATCGATACTTTTAGTAGAACAAAAATATCGATGTTAACATCGATTTTTTTGCAGCTCTAAAAAAACTTTATTTATTGTTTAATGTGTAAATAATAGTGATAAGAAGCAACACAGCTGTGCGTGTAACAAAGCGTATAGCAAATCATACGGTGTACAAAACGGGGCGCATTAAAAAGGCACAGCTTGTTGGCCGTAAAAGGCACGGAAGGCAGAGAAATCCGGAGAAGCAACAGCGCAGTCGGCAGCGACGCCCACACAGCGGAAGTAATAAAAAGGAAAGAGAAATCGGAAGGAGGGGGAAGAGCGGAGGAGGAGGAAAAGCAGGTAGAAGGGGAGCACTAGCTGACTAAAAAGGTGCAGCAGTGTTCATCAGAAACGACAAGGAGCAGCAGTCCCACAACGCTAGCAGCCATCAAAGTCATGCCGCTGGCCGATTCCCAGAAGGATCTCCGCCAGCAGCCTCAGCAGCAGCAGCATGTGTCCTCCACCGGCAGCAACAACATTGCGGAGCAGCAGAGCAGTAGTAGCAGCGGTTTGGGCCTGCAGCTACGACAGCGCATGCAGATTACCTCGTCCGGCTGTAGCAGCCTCGCGGTCACGCCCATGGAGCACACGCCCACCGAGGACGAGGAGAGTGGTGGCGGTAGCAGCGGGGTCAACTCCTCGGTTACCACGGTGACCTCATCGCAGCGTCGCCAGCAGCTGCATCAAGTGCAACAGCAATGTGCTTTGCAGGCGGCCCTGGAGCAGCATCACATCTCACCGGCAGCGGAACAGGAGTCTTCCAGAGAAAAACCAGTGCATCAAACACTATGCTCGCCGCCAGAACTCATGGAGCTAAGTGATTCCGAGTCCCAGGGAGGAAGAAGAGAAGGGGTAGTTGGAGGAGGAGCACCTGGCTCAGAAGACACCGAACCCCTAGATGATACAGAAAACGAATTCGAGCTCAAAGAGGTCATAAAAGAGGGTCACGACAAGGCCGATCCCTCGCAATTCGAACTCCTTCGAGTCCTGGGCGAAGGAAGTTTTGGGAAGGTGTTCCTGGTGCGAAAGGTCATAGGGAAAGACGCGGGTACCCTGTACGCTATGAAGGTGCTTAAGAAGGCCACCCTTAAAGTCAAGGACCGAGTGAGAAGTACCAATGAACGCAAGATCCTGGCCGACGTGGGGCATGCCTTCATCGTGCGCCTGCACTATGCCTTTCAAACCCCCGGAAAACTCTACTTGATATTAGATTTCCTTCGTGGCGGCGATCTTTTCACTCGCCTGTCCAAAGAAGTAATGTTTACGGAAGAGGACGTTAAGTTCTATCTGGCGGAACTTGCGCTGGCCATGAACCACCTGCACTCGCTAGGCATCATCTACAGGGATCTGAAGCCGGAAAATATACTACTCGATGAGCATGGTCATATAGCGTTGACGGATTTTGGTCTGTCCAAGCAGCCTTTGGATGGATCCAAAACCTACAGTTTTTGTGGAACCGTGGAATACATGGCACCGGAGATTGTGAACAGAAAGGGACACGATTTTGCCGCCGATTGGTGGAGTTTCGGGGTGCTCATGTACGAAATGCTTACAGGGAATTTACCTTTTCATGGCCAAACGCGTCAGGAGACTATGAATCAAATCCTAAGGAGTAAGTTGGGCATGCCGGAAAATCTATCGCCAGAGGCGCAGTCCCTGCTGCGGGCTCTCTTCAAAAGAAATCCTCAGAATCGTTTGGGTGCGGGTGCCCAAGGAATATTGGACATCAAGGCGCACTGCTTCTTCGCTACCATCGATTGGGTGAGATTGGAACGAAAACAGGTGCGTCCGCCTTTTATACCGGCGGTTAGCCGCGACGATGCCTTCTACTTCGATGTGGAGTACACCTCGAAGTCCCCTAGGGACTCACCGGGTGGTCCCATCTCCGCATCTGCGCATGAAATTTTTCGTGGCTTTAGCTTCGTGGCCCCTGTTCTCCTAGAAGGTCAATGTGCCGGCTCGAATAGCTGCTCTACCAGTGCCAGTCCACTACATAATATAGCTCCTATTCCTGCTGTTCCGACGGGTGCGCCCCGAACTTTACCCGGTGTCCTACCTGGAAACTTCCATGCGGAGTATAATCTGCTCCAAGAACTAGGTCGGGGAACTTTCTCAGTTTGCCGGCTGTGCGAGCATCGCGCCTCCAAAAAACATTATGCCGTAAAAGTAATCGAAAAGGCCGCTGTGGCCGCCGCATCCACGTCCGCCGATTGCTGGGAGGAAGTAGAGATTATGTTAAGGTACGGCAACCACCCAAATATCGTCACTCTCTATTCAGTTTACGAGGACGCGGGCTCCGCTTATCTAGTAATGGAGTTGCTGAAAGGCGGTGAGCTACTCGATCGCATACTGGCCGTGGGTCAGATGTGCGAAAGCGAGGCGAGCGCCGTTTTAAGGACGATTGCATCCGCAGTAGCATATCTCCATGAACATGGCGTTGTCCATCGAGATCTGAAGCCCTCCAATATGATATATGCAAGTATGCGACAGACTCCCGAAACCCTGAAGCTCTGCGATTTAGGTAAGTGTAGGAGGCGGTGGTATATCCTCTTTATATAGTCTTGCAGTCGGTTTTCTAGTTTTTAGTTTAATGCTTGTACTTAAGCACTGAAATTTTAGTCAGAAGTATGCAACGCAGTGAAGGATTCAGTGCCCTATAATAGATAATGCATCCTTGGTCAGTATCACTAAATGAATCGATATAGCCATGTCCGTTAGTCCGTCTTTCCGTTTCTACGCAAACTTGTCTCAGTTGTAAAGCTATCAAGATTTAACTTTCCTATTTCTTATTCAGGTAGAAATAGTTCGGGTCGGAAACCTAATAGAAAAATATGACTTCGTTGTTTTTGCTTATAGTCTCTTCTACTCTGGGGTATATAATTTTTTTAAGATTTTGAAAGAACGAATCAAAAGTTATATTAATCGAATGACTTTATTATATAGCTGTAATAGGAACGATCGGGAAAATAAAAGGCAAATTTACAAAACGTCGCATATAGACGACTTACACAGTTTATATTATATTCGTTTGATGATATGGTTTTAGCTGCTGTTTATTAATTCATTACAAAATGTTTACCCTTTTTGTTTTAAGGCTATAGCTAGCTATAGTTTTAATGTAAAATAAAGCTCACAACTTCCAAGGTATTTATAGAACTGTATAGTTAGATAGCTCAACCCTGCTGTTTATTACATAAATTAAACAAATTTTAAGAAACTATATAGATTTTTTTTTAAATTACATTATATAAGCTAACCAAGATTGCTAAATTATCACGTTAGTAATAAAAAAGTAGGAAAATACGATACATTACTGCAAGTCTATATCTCTCAGAGTATTCCTATCTGGTGGAGTATTAACTTTCCGATTTTAATCCAGGCTTCGCTAAGCAGCTGCGCGCAGACAACGGACTCCTGATGACGCCCTGTTACACAGCCAACTTTGTGGCGCCCGAGGTTTTGAAGAGGCAAGGTTACGACCTGGCCTGCGACATCTGGTCGCTGGGCGTTCTTCTTTACATCATGTTATCCGGTCGGACGCCATTTGCCAGCACTCCAAACGATTCGCCGGACGTGATACTGAAGCGCATCGGGTCGGGACACATTGACTTTACCAGCAGTCGCTGGGCACTGGTCAGTGTGCCGGCCAAGGAACTGTTGCGCCAGATGCTGCACATAGTGCCGGAGAATCGGCCGACGGCGGCGCAAATTCTAGATCATGCCTGGCTGCGGGAACAATTTGCCAATGGTGTGCAGCTTACAGAGTATGCCGTGGCTCCCGGATTACAGCTTTCGCTATGCGCCCAACAGCAGCAACAGAATCACATTTCGATGGCTTTAAGGGGAGCTGTAGATGCCACGTTTCGGGCCATTGCCATACCGCAGGCGGCCAATGTGGGACCTGTAGAACTTTCGATGTTAGCCAAGAGGCGAGCCAAAGATAGAGCTAACCTGCACTCCTAATCCTGGGCCGCAGCATGGTGTCCGCGGCGCCAGGCCAAAAGGCAGATAATCAGGCTGGTTTTCCGACTCTATAGTATTCTAATCCAATGCTGCTGTGCCATACCGCGTCGTTTCGTAAATGGCAATGTGCACACGCTTGGTTCACATCCGCACCCGGTGGCCTATCCTAGCAATCGCTGCCGAAGCACTAAACTGGGCGTAGTTTAGGAAATTGGCCCAACTTTACGTATTTGACAAACTGTGCTAATTGTTTATTTTATATGAAAGCATACCAAGATGCCAAGGTCAACAAGCAAAGTTCGGGGCATCTATATACACATATAACTATACAGATACAGATATATATATATATAGCTATTTATAAAACGACTCCTTAAGAAAGGGCCTCGAGAGCGTGTGTGTGTGTGGCGCCAGGATCATCCCAGATGATGCCTGATCTCACAAAAGTAATCCTTAAATCGAAGTCGAAATTCGTACACACAAGTTTACAATATAAAAACAAAATGCATACATATTTTTAATTAAATTAATCGTAGCTAAATTTTTCAACATCACCGTGTTATTGTTGTTTAACTAATTAATTATAATTAAAATGAAAAGCGAAAACGTAAATATAAGAACCAAGAGTTAAAGCCAGAATTCATTTTCTATTATTAAAAACTTTTGTCGCCAAACTATTAAAAAAACGTACAGAAGCTAAAGAAAAATGTAAAAAGAGAATTTAAAAAAAATCAAAAGAAAAATTACCCAAGAGTTTTTATCAAAAAATTAGAACTATATAAATTAAATACAAAACTAAGCGTTTATACAGCTTATGTACATAAAAGCGTTGGCGGAAATTGTTCTTTCGGGTTCATAAGGCAAATGAGATCATTTTTTAACATTTTCCTTTGAAATAAAATAGTTTAAATCTTGTCAAAGTCAAAATCTGTTCCCAAGTTGTGCCAAGGTACATCTTGTTATTTAATTATAACTTAAAAACGTAAACTCTTTTTAACTGCCTTGTAGTCCTGAGATACTCAGTAACATCGCATCACGTGCATACATATGTACATAACGAAACAAGTTGTGAAAGCATAAAATTGGTTTCCCATTTAGTTTGCTGAAGTCTTCCAACAGAAATTGTATCGTTCTACATACAAAACCCTAACCAGATATCTGGTTCTGACTTACAATAGAATGGCTCAGATCAGAAGCTTTAAAGTCATTCCATCAGAGCCGAACTTATTTCTTGTAACCTTTGTTATTGTGCTGCCCTCTCGGTTAAATTTCTAACGATCAGCACAAGAACATGTTTGCCCCTCGAAAAACAACTAAAAATGTGATTTTACAAGAAAATTCTTCGATTCTTCGTAGCAATTCGTTCTTCAATTTTTGCCAAGGAAAACTTGTTAAAACTTATGTCAAAATAATTATAAAAAACTAAACAAAACAAAAACGTGACAAAAATAAATAAAAATATGTACAAGATTCACGTGAATCAAAAACAATGTTTGAGCAAGCTGTCATCTGAAAAAAATTCTCCCACATTTTTGGGGCTTATTTGGCTGAATGTGTGTGTTTTGAAAATGGGTGCATGTGTGTTGTGTCCGTGTGTGTTTATGTTAATAAGATTTACGCGCTGTGCCACTACTGAACTTACTGCTAACAAAAAACAATAATTGAATATACACCAGCTAGAAAATGTTAGTTAAACTTGCAACAGTGTAAACCAGTGTGTTTTGGCAGTGTGAAGGATAAGTTATAGAGGGGATCGCGCATGATTATCCAAAAATACATTGTAAATTAGCTAGCTAAAAACAAAAATTTTAAAAGGTGCAAACTTTAACTTTTATTTCAAAACAATTTTTTAAAAGCTCTTTGGAAGGCCAATTAAAGAAAAGGTTGACATGATAAATTTGTCACTGATATTGAGTCGTTTGAAGCAAAAATCTAAACATTTGTTATCAATACCAATTTACAGATTCGAAACATGATATAAAATAACAAACAAATGTTCCACTTGTCCAGCATATTTGAAAACATTTTATTAAATCCGTACTTAATTTGTAAAAAGCTTATTGCTATGGCGGTTAAACTTTACAAAAATATTCGGTCAGTATGGACTTTTGGTTGGATTTATTTAACATTATTAATTGAAAACCAATCTTTTTTTATATTGTGACCTATAAAATAATGATGAATACCAAAAACAATTTGTACTATTAAATACCAACGGTTTGCAAAATAAAACCTGCACAAAAAAGACAAAGAAGGCAGACAATTCCCACACAATAAATATATCCAAGATTTTGAACCCAGCGCCCATCACCCCATAGCATTTAACTATTATAACACACCAAATATGTATTGGCTGCTAGGTACATATATTTTCTTAGTAGATTTTTACAGCTTCCAGAATTATATATTAATATGAAAGAAATCTGATAACACAACATGAATTATTCAACAAATTAATGAGCAACACTTTTATTGTAATCGAAATCGGTTCGAAGTTATTGTAAAGTTGAAACATAAAAAAATTCAGAAAAATTTACTGGAAAAAAATAAAAAATCGAAGTTCAAAATTGAATCTTAATTTCCAGTTTGATAAGCATAAGGCACATACATTGCTTTCAAATTCAATTCCTTTAGAAAAGGTTTTATTAAAACATGGTAAAGAATTGGGAAATTGGCTCTGTGGCTGTAATCCTGTTTATACCCGTTACTCGTACAGTAAAAGGGTATATGAGATTAGCCGGAAAGTATGTATAGGCACAACCAATACAATGAAGTATATATGTATATTCTTGATAAGGATCACTAACCGAGTCGAACTAGCCATGTCCGCACTCGTTAGAGTGGACGTGGAACCCTGCCGAAAAAAACTGCGCAGGAAGCCCAAGAATCTGCATGCCAAGTCCCAACATTCTAGCTTTCATAGTTTCCGAGATCTCAGCGCTCATACGGACATGGATAGATCGACTCGCCTAGTGATCCTGATTAGGAATATATGTACGTACTTCTTACGGGTATAAAAATTAGCCAGATTGTACCACTATATCCCATAGCTTCCATAGAAACGATTTCTTCAGTGCTTCCGCTTACATGAGAGCATTCATAAATTCACATTTTGTAATCATAACAGTCTGATATTTATATCCCTGCGGAGGGTATAATGATTTCAGTCAGAAGTTTGCAACGCAGTGAAGGAGATGTTTCCGATCCCAGAAAGTATGTATATTCTTGATCAGCATCACTAGACGAGTCAACCTACGCACACCAATCTCCCAGTTTTAAAGCTATCGGGATGAAACCTTCCCAAAAATCATATTTCTATTGCAGGTAGTATATAAATCGGAAAGAGCCGGATCGGATACCTGTATCCTATAGCTCACATAGGAACGATCAACAAAATATTTTTAAAAAAATGTTTAACAAATTATAACTTCGCTGTTTTTTGACATATTAACTTATTTTCTTGGAATATCATTCTTTTAATATTTCAGAATTTCGAATATCATATAGCTGCCATAGGCACGATCGGATAATAAATGTCAAAATAATACGTAGACCGTTATATTTTCTTTTTGGTAAACATATACGTTATTAAATTGAAATTATCCTAAAATTTCTGTATAAGCACTTTCGTACACAAAACACAGTACAAGTTATCTAACATTAAAAAAAGTATTTACCATTATGTACAATATCCATTCTTTTTGTGTTATGTTAATAATTTATATAATTTTTGTAAATACACTGAGTTGCACTGCACGGCGCACAAATTTCAAGAACAAAGGCACGTCCTCGCTCTTTTTATTCTAGTGTCCCTTTAGAAATGCAAAAAAATTTTACTGTTTCGTAAAACTTGGACAATCAGCTGATCGTAGAACCGATTTTCGTTGGAAATGCTCAAAATAAATTTGTTGTGCATATTGGCATTTCCACCAGAATGTCAACCAAGCCAAACAGCTTTAAACTTATTTAAAACATATTGCTATACGGTTTTTCCTCGATATTAGTTTCTAAAAAGATAGATTCCTAACCAGGGTTCGCAAATATTACTACGTAGCAGCAATAGTAACTACAAAAATGATTTGTTATTACTACTGAGTAATTTTTTTTAAGCCGGGAGCAAAGCTTTCCCTAAGTACTATAGTTTTATTTGGAGCAGCGTTGTATATAGTAAAAACTACTGCACAATGACTACGGCTACTGCTCTCAGCACACTTTGAACACAATATCAAAGCTGCTATAGCTATTTCCTAAAACTTAATACAGAACAATAAATCTTTTTCTAAAGTAAAACTGGGGGCTGAGAGCTGTGTGCTGGGAGTTATATTCTTCAGAAAACAGAATCAATAAACATAAACCGCGATCATTAACAATTTTTGCGGGTCCGTCACATTTCTCAGTCCGCGATTAATACAAAATTGATAATCGCAGATTCTTTAGAAGAGGATTAAGGTCTTTATCTTTAGATTGTGTGGATCACTGAGTAAAAGGGTTGGTTTGATATTTAAATCAAGTCTTCAGTAACCGCGAATTCCTCAGAACAATAATCATACTGAACTTAACAAAAGACATTAAAAACATAATGATATTTGTGTTAAATTTTGGATTTTATTGATTATTTTTGTGTTTAAAAAAAAACTCATAATGGTTTAAATCGATTGACTTGCTTACTATATTTGACTTACTATATTTACTATAGCACTGCTGAAAGCAGTAGCCGTGTTCTTGGGGAGCAATTTTTACAAGATAACATGCTCTTATCCAAAAAACTATAGTTTTAAATATTGCTACGGCTCCTTATAGTATTCTGTTTGTAGTATTTCGAAAATGCTTTGCTCCAGACTTCAAATAGTAAAAACTACAAATATAGCATAGCAAAATGCTATGTTCAAAAGAACCCTGTTTTTAACTTAGCAACACAATTTATATATAATTTGGTCAATTTTAATATCGAATCTATCAATAAATCCAAAAATTAGTTTTTGGTGTTTTTTACACCTGTCTTCTGTTGTTTTTTTATCCAATAGGAACATTAATATGTGACGAAATTATATTCTCAATGCCGCTTTCACATATAAAAATATTTAATTAGAAGGAAAACAACTATCGATTTGTGTCAAAGTGCAAGGAAAACTACTTACCAAAACGGTAAGAAAAAATGTACCGAGCGAAAAGTTTTAAACTAAATTAGAAACAAACTGTTAGCACTAGCTGAGTCTTTCAAGTCTGTTTCACAGTGACATTGTTGGAGAACAAGTAAGGCCCATTAACTAAATTAAAATTCTTCCTTTTTTTTAAAATTTTTTTTCCACTTTAAAAGTGTACGAATGTCACCAGCGACTCCCTAGAATATCAACATTAGCGCAAATCGAACTCGAGTAACATACTCGAAAGTGAAAGCTGGAAAAAGCAGGACATCAAGGCAAAATTTGTATCGCTCGTGCATCTTATCCATCATCCCAATAACTATCTAACTTGTTTCTATTTAACAATAATTGTTGATTTATTTTTCTTTATCGTTCCGTTTATGTTTTACGTAGCTTAAAATACTTTTTAATTTCATATAACTGGAATCATAGGTTTAAATTTGCGTTATTTGAAAAATTAGGGCCATTACTCTGCCGGTTTGTTGATTCATTAACTGTTTTGGATCGAAATAAATACACTTAATTACAGAAAATTATTGTACATTGCAATTAAGTTTACTTGCTATTTAGTTTGTACATAAGCAAATTATGTAGAAACTGTAAATGTGTTGAATTTGTTCTTGTGTGTTGAGTGTAAAAATATATAGATGTGCCAATAATTATCGGCTATAACTACATCGGCCTGTGTGGCAGGACATTTTTCCTAGTGCTTTCCCTTGCCTTTGCGACCCTTTTGAAACTGTTGTTGCAGATGCTGCCGCGTCGTCGACGCCTCTTTGTCCTTATCATTATCCTTTTTACCGATGTCAAACGCTAGAATGTATAAAATTAGTTAAAATTAAGTATAATTTTAGACATTATATCTAAAGGAATCTTGTTATTTCTGAAAGTGTTTCTTGAATAGGACAATCTCTTGATTTATTTTATTCTGTCTTTTGCTTGCATTAGAAATGACGTACACGCCAAATTTATTGACTTTTTGAGTTTTTAATTTACAAAGAACATTTAATTACCAGATGAAACAAATTATCCTTGCTCATAGAATAATTGGTACTTGGTTTTCGTCGGGAAGTATGTAACAGTTAGAAGGTGTTTCCGACACCGGAAAGTATATATATTCTTGATCAGGATCACTAGTCGACCTAGCCATGTCCGTTTTTCCGCTCGTCCGTCTGTCCGTTTGTATGCACGCTGAGTAACAGGTATATTAACTTAGGCTGTCCCAACAGTTATTTAAAAACGGCATACATTTGTCATTTTTTTGAGAGATTAAAGGTTGAAAGTTTGAGTTGAGCACTCAGTGAAATATCTTGGGAGTTTGCGCCTACCTGCAGAATCCTTGTCTTTTAGCTGCACCTGTTCCAGCGAGGGGGCCAGTTCTACCACCAGGGTCTCGTCGACTCCATCCTCCACCTGCTGTGGTTTCTGGGAAGTTCTTGCCTCGTGCACAACCACCTCACCCTCCTCCTCCTCCTCAACGACCTGAGCTTCCTCGGCCATTACGCCGTTGAGGACGGTGACCGCCTCCTGGGCCATGTTGGCCTGTGCTTGGCGGCGTCGATGCTCGAGATCTCGTTTGTAGTTTTGTGTCCACTCCACGTGTTCCTTATAATACTGGCTAACCGGAATGACAATCACTGAGATATCATCAACAGTGGCTGCTGCCTTGCTATCGGCGAGACGCCAATGCCCGGAGTCATTGATTTTTCCACGAGCACGAGCCACCAGCTCCTGGGCGACCATCGTATAGCGATGCTTCTCCGTAGGATATTTGGATAGCGTCTGGAAGACAATGCGTGCAACGCCCTCGTTTTCGGAAACATCCCATAGGCCATCGGTGGCCATAACAAGCACGCCGTAATCTCCATCCCTGTTGTCTTCATCCGAAATGCAAACGACCTGCGTAAGATCCCTCTGTCTCACATCGGGATGGGGCGTGAGAAAGGGTTTTATCTGTATACCCGTGTTAATGGCCAGCAAGTCGTGATCGCCAAAACCGCGCGTCACTCCCAGTGTGCCCAACAAACGGCTTCTCTTGCCCTCGCCATTTACCACCGGCATGCGGAGATCTTCTCTGGTCAGCGTCTTATATGTCCAGCCACGCATTGTGCCCTGTCGGCAGAGAATGCGCTGGCCCATATCCTTGATGTGCGGCCGCTTGGCGTACTCCATTGCCACATAATGTTGACCCATAAGTTGCGGCTTCAATCTGGCTACATTGAGCAGACGTTCTCGCTCTGTTTCAGGCGTGTGATCAGCGGAGAACGGCACTGGATAACAGCTAACTTCTAGTGGATCCGGTTCAATACTGGAGTGCGTATCCGTTTGTTGCCTATCAGGAGTGGCACGGCGCTGACAGAGCACAGCTCTAGAGTCGCCGGCATTGGCGACATACATCTTGCCATCAATAAATAATGAGACGCAGGCGGTGCAGCCGCCGGCATCTCGATAACGATCATTGTCCTGCGCTATCAGCGAGTCCATGTTGAAAAAGGCACTTTCCAGTGCACCGATGATAAGTTCGTCCTTGGTCACCCGGCGCTGGAAGTAGATGGGGTGCGGGAATGTAGGATTCAGCTGAATGCCATCCCCTCCGCCACTGGAGGGGTCCACATCTCGTGGCAGGAGCAGCTCCAGGCAGTCTACTAGCTTTTCGTGCAGGATGTGATGGAACTGATGCGAAGCGGCTAGTGCGGCTCCATATCCGGCGTGTCCATCGAAAATTCCGAAGTATGTGTACGGAAGATCTGGGTGCTTGTGCTCAGGATCCGAAAGAACTTGCCTGGGGATGAGAAAAATACAACAGAATTTATTAAAATTCCAATGCATTTAAAGCTCGGTTATACTTTCTGAATTTTAATGAGGTTTCTAAGGGGTAATATACACATGTACTAGGTTTTATTATATGGTTTTGGGAATAGCTACGCAAACAAGAAACAACGCTAACTTCGCAAGCCGAAGTTTATTAATCGATTATTCCTTTTGCACCTGTATGGTATAGTCATCCGATTAAAAAAATTTCTTAAACACAAGAAAAACGTCTGCGTTAGATAAGACTGTAGAGCTTATAATATAGCAATAATCCCATTCAATAATCGGCTTAATAACATATTATAGTCATTTTTTCAAAATTATGTCGAAATGTCAAAATGTTGAGTAATAATAAGTGTTCTAATCCCCAAACAAAACATAGCGACACCAATTTACAGTTAAAGTTACAATTAAACCTATACTTTGTGGATGAATGTCTAATCTCGGCAGGAAACAGAAGTATGTCTTGACCAACAGTTTTATAACCAGGATTATTTGAAAAATTGGGCTCTAATAGGTACTATCTATACGTACTACTTTTTGGGCATTCGTGGGAGTAAATACCACCTTTTCGTATTGGCTTACGTGATTTTCATATTCGACCATCTAATATGTACACGGGCTTGAAGAGATTTATGATTTCAACTATTTTTCTTAATAACATCTAACTTACATTAATTTTTAGCATATTGTGCTTGTAAATTTATGAAAATTTAAAAATAAGATATAAAAGTTAGCAAGAAATCATGAAATTTTTGTTGCTCAGAATTCAAAGAATTATATGACCCGTTTGTTAAATGGTCTTATTTTAATTAAAAAACTATAGCTGTCTATTAAAAAATTTAAAACCAACTTAGAAACATTAATTTATCGATAAGTTGTCGAAATCGAATGCTATTTGATATTAATAGTCATTAAGGCTCGAGGCTCGACCTTATTATATACTTTATATTATATATATATGTACATATATATATTATATTATATTATATTATTTGATGAGCACAATATGATTTTAAATCGAATATATACTGAATGGAATTTTTTGCTGTATTCTTCTTTATATATTCTAAGCAAAATAAAAACGCAAAATGGTTTCAATCGGAAATTCAAACTCGCCGCACGAATTTTTAAGTAAGACGATGAGTTTATCACTACTACTTTTATCATGATATCAGCTGTATGTAAGCGATTGGTATAGAGAAAGAAATGAACAATAAAAGTACTGACAAGCTAAATAGTTTCTGTAAAATATATATACAAATTGAACCAGTTCTTACTAATGTATATGTTCAAGCTATAATACAATTTTAAAATGAATCCAAAACTTTAAATTTGTTCTTCAGAAGATTTTATGATTATACGACTATATTGGCGACTATCTTAGTTTCTTACTACATTTGTTCGGATAAATGGTGTAAGAGCTCAAAGAAATGATTGTAAAAACTAAATTTGATGATAAATGGTGCTGGCCCACTCATAGACGATTTTGAAGAGACCTAAACAAATGAGTTTACGGATCAAAATTGGTGATCAAATCGATAGTAAGATGTGGTGACCACCCTGGGCTGGCCCACTTACCGACAGAAGGCGCCCTGGTCCTCGTTCCACTCAGATTTACCGGAATTGACGCACTCGGCGTATCCGGTGCCCCAGGGCAGCAGGTTGATGTCCCGCGGCACTATGATTGGCCGCACATTGTGGTCCGCTGAGGCGCGCAGTTCGTCCGCTGTGAGAAGTTGCAGAAAGGGGGGCCGGGCGTAGGGGAACTTATCCGGCAACGGCTGACTACCGGAACCACCGAACCGAAGTCGCTGGTGCGGCGAATTGTGAAGATGGCCGCTTCCGGCACCAATCCTTCGCTCGCCTGCACCTGGCAGAGGCGGTAAGTCCGGTGCAATGGCCGATATAAAACGCTCCTTAATGTTACTAAACATGTTTTCCTTTTTCAATCTACCTCCCTTGTTGTCACCCGTTCGCTTCTTTGTCGCGCTCTCGCTCACTCCCACTGACGTGGCGAGCTTGCGATGTTGTTGTGCTGCTGCCTTTCCTACTTGATTTACTTAAGTTTCTCAAATATCGGGTATTTAGTCTGTAGACTTATATAGGCGGCGCCGTGAGGTCTCCGGTCGGTTGCACTAGGCGAATAGTTTTACGTTAATCGCGACAACTTTGCGGATTAATTTTGTCTTTTAACAAAAATAAATCGATAGCTCGAAGTGTGGCCGTGCATTGCCGTGTTCCAAAATCCTAAGGTTGTAAAACGGAAGGCGTATAATACTAAAAATGCAGACCCTGACCAGACATGGTTGGAGTCTTGCTGTTAAAGTCTTGTTCCACTACTTCGGATTACCTACCGATAGAGCTGGAAAATCATCGATATTTACCTACATCGATGTTTCGATGTTTTTCAGAAAAAACATCGATGTATCGATACATCGAATTATTTTTGGGTGTAATTTTGAAAAACGTTTTTATTCCATATAATATTATAAACGAATACCACAAATAAACCCAATGTGTAAGTTCATTATAAAAAAGTATGCTTTATTTGAGATCCATTGTTTGCTGTTTTTGATTCCTGCACATTCAAAGTGAAACTTAAGCTACTCGTTCAACACAAAATTAAAATTAAATCACAATTCAACTAAAAATAAAATAAAAAACAGTATACTCGAAAAAATAAGAAAAAATTATAACTAAAAGACAAGACAAAACAAGACAATTTTGTCATATTTCCACTTGTTTGATAGGTTTTACCTCATTTTATGCATTTGGCTGTCTTGCCATCAGCCGATTTGTCAAAATAGTTCCATACAGCAGATTGCCCATATTTCTTCCGTTTATTTCATATACATTAATTTTCTAATTACTCTAATTACCATTGCTGTTCTCGTCTTTCAAAATCTTCTCCATATCTAAGCGCCGCCAACACAAATTTTTGTCGAAATCTACACCAATTTGAACGTATATTTTAGTTAAGTTTACTTAATTAATCAAAAATGTGCTTAGCCTACCAAGATTCTTTCCTGCCAAGTAGTCATGGGTAAAGAGGAAACATCGAACATCGACGTTGAAAACCTCGATATTTCCCGAGTTTTGGAAAACATCGATGTATCGATACATCGCCGATGTTATTTCCAGCTCTACCTATCGAGTGAGTCAATAGTATTGGCCCAATACCCCTCTTAAGCCTAGAACTCAGATCGACGAAAACCGCGAGCTAACCATAGGAGTGAGCGAGAGGCAAATACGCGGCTAACTCTTTTCGTCGGGTCTTTTTTTGCCAAATCGAATCCAGAAGGTCAAATCCAAGCTTATGCCCTTTATTGCGGGATTTCACCGACAGGAAGCAATTTCACAATAGGGGCAAATTCACAGAATAGTTGAAGTGTTGGAGAAGATCCACTAGAGAATCCCAGGGGGAAGGATCATGCCGAGTTGGACTTCGATCTCTACATGGACATCCTGGCGGGCGCGTCCTCGCAAAGAAAGTAAGATCTGGACTCCGAACACCACCACCACCAGCTACTTGGCAGCTTAAGCGGAGCTGGAGGACCCGCTGGCTTCTATAGGGAGGAGGAAAATAGGGCGCCCGCTAAGGAACAGTTGGAGTAGCCATAGCCAGCCACTGCCAGGATGCTGGGCGACTTCCTGCAGCATCAGCGGATCAACCCCGTTCCTAATCCGGCTCCCTCTTCGTCAAGGTCCAATATGCCTATTGAGACTCGGAGTTGGACTGCGGTGGAGCGGGAAAGATGGCGAAGCATCCGTGGGACGAGAAGAAAGCTTTAAACTACTAATTTACATAAATAAAAACATTCGTTGAACATTCCATTTATTTTTATTTTAATTTCTTTGTGTACCAGCAGACTCCTCCTTTTTAAATTTAAATTTCAAACCCACCTCCTTGACAGTAAGACCATGCTACATGCATTGCTGGTGAACTTTGAAAACTTCGGTCACACTACAAAGAATAAGATTTTTCGACTAGTGAAACTCTTAGCCGATCTGAGTACAAGGCTTTAGCCAAAAAAAAAATGATTCTACCAAGTAATAGCCTCTGCACAAAGCCGCTTAAAATCGTTGTTGCAATACTATCCGGATTGTTGTTCACAAGTGAGTCGCTGAAGCGAACAGCTATTTATCTATTTACTACAGCCATGATCATATAAATAGCACAAAAAGTACGCTTTTTCTATTTATGAGTATTGCACAGACAACATATTATTTAATGGACAAATTTGTTTCCAATTTTGTTCGATTAACATTTGTTTTTAATAAAAATAACAAAAAAAACGATAACACTAAGTAATAGCCTCTGCACACACTCGTTTAAAATCGTTGTTGCAATACCAACCGGATTCTTGTTCATAAGTGAATCGCTGAAGCGAACAGCTATTTATCTACTTACTACAGCCATGATCATATAAATAGCACTAAAAGTACTATTGCACCCACAACATATTCTGGGTATTCCCTAAACTGTTGAATTTTGGTCAGCTGTTAAACAGCTGTTCCATACAAAGTCAACTTTCAGAAATTTCAGCAATTCAACAGCCTCGGGGCTGTTGAAAATTTGGTTGAATTGCTGAAAATCAGAGTTGTCGCTGTTCTCGACTAAAAGTAAGAGAGTAACATTGGTCACTTGTAAACATGGAGAAATTGTAATCGTATAAAATATGCACATAAAGGATATCTAATAGGATGCTGCCTGTTAGGAGTTCTAATAGTTTAATATAATATAATTTATTATAATATAATTTAATATAATTTTAACCATAATCTTTGGTAAACACGGTCTAGCAATTTAACAATCTGACAAACAGCTGACATTTTAAAATTGAAAATTCAACAGGGAACTTTTAGGGTCGTTCCCTTAATTGCTGAAATTTTCTGTTGAATTTTCAACAATTCAGCAATTTAACAGTTTAGGGAATACCCTGATTATTTAATGGACAAATTTGTTTCCTATTGTGTTCGATTAACATTTGTTTTTAATAAAAAATAACATTTTATAGCAGTCGTGCCATGGTTCTGAAGAAAATTCAATTCTTAGGCCAATATTTGTAAAATATCCTGTGTACCTAAATAGCAGACATTAGATTAAAACTAGAAAACGTTGCTTCAAAAATAAAAAAAGTCTTAGATTCTTGAAAAAATTGTATTTATGAAAAGTCTCGGCAAATGTGACTTGCCACAAAGCACAAAGCCTTGTCTCTGGGAAGTTCAAAGTCACCATCCAAGCTAAAATCAGTTTTTAAGCTTTAGTGGTACAGTAACACCTATTATGGGGTTAAGATCCTTCAAAATGTTATTAAAAATAGAGGTGTTGATTAATATAGTCTTTTATAGTTTAATGTGGCAAGTCACATTTGCCCCAGCCATATAATAATTAAACTGTAAAAGCTGCTGTACTGGGATTAGTGATGCAGATTCTAGGGATTTCTGCGCAGCGCAAGTTTATTTCCGTAATTTTATTTCCACGCCCACTCTAACTGTTGCTATAATAATAAATTTAACAGAAATGTATTGGATTCATCAATACCTATCGATTGCCCTTAAAAAACTTTGCCCGATGCACCAAAAAGAGAGAGACGGTGGATCGTTTACCCAGTGTTTCAAAGCACTATTAGGCAGTGAAAGGAAAATCGGTGCACGTAAAAATTTTATAGCGCTGTAAATATTTTTGATTTCCCATTAGTCCACGACTAAGTCTCATATGGCGAAACCCGTGTGCCTAATGCGATTTTCTTAGAATTTTCCAAGCGTTTTCCTATTTTAAAACGGTCATCTAAACTGTTCACCCTAAAAGGTCGTTTTATTTCTGGAGGCAGTGTCGAGTGGCAGTTTTCTCCAGAAGTCTACATCTCGCTCGCTCGCACTGCCCTCCGCTTCCCCTCTTCAACTCACCCTAAGTCACTGCTCAGCTCTGGAGCGCTTTAGTTAAGCTGGGCTTAAAGAGTTATAATTTCCTAGTGTTCTAATAAACACCCACGCACGTCGCGCAACGAACAGAAAGTATTCCCGTATTTTGGACGACTATATCATATAGCAGCCATAAGAACGATCGTATAACTAATAATATAATAATAAATAAATTAAAGCTTCGTTATTTTATTTCATATTTTTTTCTATTGCGGTGTATAGTATTGTTTTAATATTTTAGAACTACGAATAGAATTTGATATAAGTTGGACTACTATTTCAAATAGCTGTCATAGAGAGGATCGCAAAATGAATGTCAAGACAACACAAAAATCGTTATGCTAGTAAATTTAAAAGTAACATTGTCTGTATATTTCTGTGATAACTTTTTTATTATCTTAAAATCAGATAAATCTGCACAATGTACATACAATGTACCCATAAAAACGATTTGCAAGGGTATATAATAATTTGCTTCCTTTCTTGTTCGATTTGATAATTGTCAAATCAAACTTACCATGTGAATATCAAATCGATCCTGATTAATGTAATTTTCTGCGTAGAAACTGCATGTATTATCTCAACTTTCCAGTTATTATTGTATCCTATGTAAGACTCGACGTTCATTCAGACAAATGGACGAACAGACGGACATTTCTAGGTTGCCCTTTCTAATGATTCTGATGAAGAATATATATTCTTCTTCTAGTGTCGGTAATGTTCCCATCTACCTGTTACATTTTAACGTATATACGAATAATTAAAATAAAAGTTTTATTTATTAAACTATTGCAGATCGAAGCACAGCGAGCTGCGTGACGTCATTGTCAAGTCGAATTCTTTGGGAATTGCTTTGGACCAACAAAAGGTGGATCAGTATATTAAGGCGATGTCTTTAAATGGCACTGAGAAGGTGAGACCAAATTTAAGTTAAACCAAAAAAAGGACTTTGTTCTGAATGAGATTTATTGTAGGTAAACAGTGAGAAACTGGCGGCCATGTGGATGTATGCCACCAAAATGGGATCTCTACCGCCGCCCTCAGTTCGCAAATTGACGCCACCATCGCGGCAGATAATGCTGATTCCCTCAACCGCTGGCAGTGGGGTGAGCCCGATTCCAATTTTTCGATTTTTAGGGGGGGGTCCAGCGCCAGTTATTCTTTAACAAAATTATTTCAATATTTAAAGTATTTTTCGAGATATATAGAGCAAAAAGCTTTAAATACGATTTTCTTAAAACCACGTTTGGCAAAACGGTGTCTCCTACAGCTTTGAAAAATGGTTGGATAATAAATCGTTATCATATTTCATAGCAAAATAGATTAAGCTTCGCGCTTTCCAACGTAACCATTTTTTAAAATCTGTAGTTAAACGGTGAAGACAAAAAATA